CTTTTATAGTTGCCATTTCCAAGTTTTAATTGCCTTGGTTTAATTGGTTGTATCCAAAGAAATGTCAATTCGGTAATTACCCCTATGCTATTGGAATCACCTTCATTTAACAAGCAAAGGAAAACTGACTTCTGAAAGGGAAAAACAATTAAAATATAATACCGGGGAAATACTGTATCATTGAGGTATTAAAAAATAATATTGTATATGACTGAAACTCAGTTTATTTCATAGGAATCAAAAAAATGTTCTTTTTAAATTCGAAACAGTAATATACCAAATACATAATCAAACATAAATTAGTTAATACAGAATCATGTTCATTCATTTATAAATTTATTAATTCACTTAGAAAATATCTACTGAGTGCCAATGATATGCCTGGCAAGAATTATATAACTACTTTCATGGAATCTAATGGGTGAGAAAAAAATAATCAACACAAATCCGTGTATGAATACAAACTGTGGTAAGTCGTAGATGAAAAATTATGTGGACTTATGTGAGTGTATCAGAACCTGACGCATTGATAATACGAGCTGAGATATGGACAAAAGGAACATCTGGTATAGAGGTAGAAAGAGAGTATTTCAAGCAGAAGAGAAGAGCACAGCACATTGCAGGAACTGAAGGAAGGCCAGTGTGGCCCAAACGCAGAGAAGGAGGTAAGAAATGGCACAAGATGGAGTAGCTCACTTAACAGGGGCTACATCATTGAGGCGTGTTAAAGATTGGGTCTACTATTCTGAAAGTACTGGGAAGCCACTGAAGTCTTTTAAGCAATAGTGTGACAATCAAAATTGAATTTTAAAAAGATCACTTTGGCTACAGCAAATGGAATAGACTGAGAAAGAAGAGTGGATTCAAGAGATGAGTCTGGAGGCAGCTGCAGTATTCCAAGTGAGACATAATAAATTAGAAGGTAGAGTTTACGCCTTCGATTTAACAATCCATAAAGTCTACAGTTATTTGTGTTCTACAAGTGACCTATTTTCAAAGAATTAAATGTGTCGGAGCTAAAAGGAAAGCAGAGTGATAGAATAGAAGGTATGTGTGCTTTAGAAGGAACTACAGCTGGCTTAGCATTCTGGTCTGAACCTTTCGCTCCACTCCTTGTTAGCTGAGGGATGTTATGTGAGGCATTAAGCTCTCTGAGCCTCAGCTCCCACATCTTCTGAGTGCACATAATAATACCTCCCACAGTTGAGAAGATTAAGTGGGACAATGTGTGTGATGTTCTCAGCATGGAAGGCCAGTTAACACTGAAGAGCCCAGGACACATCAGCGGGTCTCATCCCCTCCTATTACAGATCTTCATCTTCCTTTTGAAACTTGTTCCTCCTCCTGTGTTTTCTTTCTCAGTGAATAGCACTATAATCCATCCAGTTGCACAAGTCAGAAACCCAGCAGGCATCCTTTCCCCTCACCTTCCATGATAATCAAGTCATACAAAGTCTATTCTCTAAATAGCTCTTGAACCAATGGACTGACTGCTCTGCTCTTTCACTACCCTAGTTAAGGGCACCAGCCTCTCTAGATTAGATGATCCTCTTCACTCATTACCCTGCCCCCACTTTGTTGTCCCCTAGTCCATTCTTTACACTAGCCAAGCAAATATCACTATCTCAGTTCTCTGACTACTCCCCTCATGCCAAGAAAACGTCATCCAGTTCCTTAGCATGGCTAACAACACCCTCCCTGATCTACACTCCGCCTACTTCCCATCCTCACCTCTTGCCACTCCTCCCCCCACCTTGGGTCTGGCAGGTGAAAGAAACTGCTCCCCATTTAGGACGTGTAGCTCCCAGACGTACTCCCTTCACCTCCACATTCAGGCCACCAGCTGGAGCACTCTCCCTCCAAAGCTTCTCTGGATTAGGTCAACAACTACTCAACACTGAGCTTCAGCTCAGAAAAAAAAAAGTGTCTGGGAGGCACTTTTGCTCCACTTGACTCTATCCCAAGTATGTTGGACAGCCTATAACATGAATTTCATTATTTGAATGAATTGAACAAGCGGTCAAGTGAGGTCTAAGGAGTCTGATTGGATTGGCCAAGGTTACATAGGTTAGGGCTTACTGTGAGGAGAAGATCCAGGTCTTCGGCCACATGTTGCAGTGTCCCCTTCTCTCCATCATGCTGACATTTTGCCTTATTAATCTCAATTGCACTGGCTCTCCTCATTAAGCCTTTGAAACATTCTCTTCATGCGGTTGCGAAATATTGCTCATTTATACTGAGGTTTATAGTTTTTGCACTCAAAACAGACCAATGTCCCCTCCTTCCAAAAGCCTTCCTGGACTCCCCTAAGAAGTGGTAGCCGTGGCTCGTGTGACACTCTCAAGCACTCCTGTAGCATTTTTATACTGCTCTCCCTCCCTGTGATACTGTGAATTCTTCCGAAACTAGGACCATGCTGGCTTCATTTTACATCTCTGATACACAAGACTGTTCTTGGGACAGAGTAGTGGTACTTGATATTTGTTGATTGTAATGGCTCTTCAGAGCTGAACAGTATGCAAATAAGGGCAACTAAAGTGATGTAAGGAATGCCAGGGGGAAAAAATGATGCAAGAATAAGAAGACAGACTAAGATGATGATGGCTCTGCTATACAGAGATAGGGAGTTTGAGAAAAGGCACAGATGGCTTTGGCTAAGATGAAGAATCGAGAAGGTGATTGAGAAGATGATGCCACTGCTGGAACAGGCTTCCTCTCCTAGTGAGAACCTTCAGTCCCTCAGAGACCTTACTGCTTCTTTTTATTCAGGACAGAGAACTGGAGTCAGAAAAGAAGAAGCTCTCACTTTCAGACAGCTGGAAAGGTAAGTAAGAAAGCTGAGTCACAGAGCACGTTCTACGCCTGCTGGGAAGCCTACAGCCAACACTAGAGATACTGGTTTCATAGGTGTTGCAGGTTCCTGAAATGGCAGAATCATAGTCAGCCGATTGTGATGGAAATAGAACTGAGCTGGGGGCAGAAATCCAAGTGTTGGTCCTAGTCTTGCCCATAGCCTTGGGCAAAGCTCTGAGCCTCATTTTCCTCCTCTGTGAAATATAAGAGGTTTGAACTAGATGGTCTCCTATAGTGCTTTCTCATGCAGGGATTCTCTGATGTATGGGCTCAGCACTTGGATTTACTTAATGCAGCTATACAACCAAGGGTAAGAAGACTGTTGATCTGGGTAATGCATGCAAATGCAGACATGCAACCTCATCCTTTTCACTCCTGTAACTTGATGTGGACTGGCTGAAGCACGTATCCACAACGGTATTTCCTCGTTCATACACAGTAAGCACAGCCAAAAGCTTTATGAATAAAAAATTAGAGATATGGTAAGGCTGTAAAGCAGTGGTTCGCAAATATCAAAATCAGTGTGGTAACTTTTGGAAAGCAAGTTCCAACGCCTTGCACCAGATATGCCAAATCAGAACCTTCAAGATGGAACCCTAGGAATGTTTTTTACAAAGCTCTCATGTGACTTTGATAATCAACTAGTTTGGGGCTCATTTATAAAGGAAAATTAGTGTTTCTCAAAGGGTATCTAAGATGCTTATTTAAAATATCTGGGGGGCTTCCCTGGTGGCGCAGTGGTTGAGAGTCCACCTGCCGATGCAGGGGACACGGGTTCGTGCCCCGGTCCAGGATGATCCCACCTGCCGCGGAGCGGCTGGGCCCGTGAGCCATGGCCACTGAGCCTGCGCGTCCGGAGCCTGTGCTCCGCAACGGGAGAGGCCACAACAGTGAAAGGCCCGCGTACCGCAAAAAAAAAAAAAAAAAAAAAAAAAAGAATTCAGTACAAGCTTTTAATTAAACAATTTGCTGAGATCTTATCTGAGGAAGCAAGTTAGAAATATGTCTCAGTTCCTGTTGGTTGGTTTTTTAGCTAAATCACAAATGTTAATGTCATTATAATAATCATAGATTAGGCAAGATATAATGACTAGTACCTACTAAGCAACAATATTTAAGGGACATCCTAGAATCATAAAATGATCCAAGGTAGTCATCATTTCTAGTCAACAACCTTCAAAACAAATATTTACTGTTGAGAAGCCCAGAAGTAGGCTGTCCAAGGTCTCACCCAGCTGGTGAGGAGCCCCCCCAGCTCCAGACCTTAGTTACCTGACTCTGCTTCATTACTCTGTCTTTATACCACGGGCCCTAGACTGTGTGCCCTTCAACTCAGTATGCCGACTGTTTGCTTCAGTGCTTATGCCGACTGTTTGCTTCAGTGCTAGAACAGGACTACATTAGACCTGAAATATCTTTCAGAGAATACAACATAAAATGCTATTACTACAGATAGATTTTTTAGGACAAAGCTTTTATTCACCCTCATTAGTTCTTCTCAATTCGTCTAATAAAATATGTTTGTGAAAAGATGTGCTTGTCTTGATCTCTTGCTAAACTGAAATAGGAAATGTCTCCTAGAGTCCCCATTCTTGAGTTGACCAGTTTTGGGTATAGCACAATAATAGGCATTTCATAAATATGATGAAAACAAATGGACCATAGCTATTATGAGATCTAGCTTTGATTTTTTTAAAAAAAATTCACTAAAAGCATTAATGGAAAAGACCAAGTTATCCAAAGCCATATAACTTTTAACAGAATTCAAATTCTTCCCTTTTCCTGTTTTCATACCCTACTCTTTTTCTCTTCCTTCCCATTGATGTTATAGACTCTCTAAAATATGTGAACACACAGATATTTTCACAAAGGGAAAAAAGTAAGGAAAATGACATCAAGAAAGAGAAATTGCAAGAAAATAACTTAAACATTCACTAGCTGTAGACAGATTTGATGAAGGCTTTCTGACTGAGGATTTGGTTGGTTTTGTTTTTTGAAGGGTGAGTTTTGTGTCTGTTTTGCTCTCATTCAAATTTTGCATGCCAACTCAGATTGTGTTGCTATATCCTGTCAAGTGTTTTATTGTGGAAGTCATTTCTTCCACAAAATCAATATCTAATTTCCTAAATAAAGAAAAAAATACTTACAAATCTCTGATTAAAATATGCTGCTATTTCTAAGTCAGGTTTAGCAAGAAATTTTGATAAATCTTTTTTTCCTGTAAATTAAAAAAAAAAACTATGAAGAACCAGAAAAGGTGAAAATTAATTTAAATTATCAAATTTTAATCATTTTGTCTTTTTTAAACTTAAAACTGGTAAACACCATGACTTGCTTGACTTCCTTCAGAAAAGCAGAGCCTCCAATTCTACAATAAAATTTTCTATTAAAAGTTAAGCGGCTTCATTTCAAATAACAAGTGTTAGTACCTAGGACTGCCAGCTACAAAATGCAATGAATAATTACTGCATCAGTGCTATTAGGGATTAATGTCAAGTTAAGAAAGTCATCACATAAAAATAACCATCCATTACAGCAAACATTTGTAGTCACAGAAAATGACTGTAAAAAATATTTGGCATAACTACACCTTTATTTGGCAAAACATACTGCACTTTGGGGATATGACTGTAGAGAATCTTTTACATCTTTCCCAGGTGGCTTGAAGCGCTGTACCAATATTCCTAATACCCACGTGGAGACCACGTGGAAGAAATCCAAGCATCTTGCTCCCAGAAATGAAGATAAACTATGTACATATAATTCTTCTTTACAGATTGGGCCCTGTATCTCAGGGCTGAGCATCTGACCCAAGAAAGGTGAAAAATAACAGGAGTATAAACCACAGGTATTTACATCAGCCACTGATAGCAACAGGGCACTTTGCAAATACCCTCCACCACACTCTCACTGCCCTAGCTCGGCCTGCCGTTCACTCTTACTGGAGCTTTGCAACAACATCCCAAATGACTTTCTTCTATGCATTCTTGCTTCCTGCAAATCCATTCTTTACAAAGATGTCAGGTGGAATTATTTCAAAGTAAATCTGCCCATGAGCATTCTGTGATTAACTAATCCTTCACAGGCTTCCCATCACCTACAGGATCAAGTCCAAGCCCCTTCACAGTGTACATGATGCCCTCCAGAAGTTGGCCCCAATCTACCTCTCCTTCATTTTCACCCATGCCAGATCTGGGCTAGTCCTAAAGCTCTGCAGTCACACCTTGCCTAAGCCCCCCGTGCCTTGTTTATAGTGCCCTGCTGGCTGAGGTTCTTTGCCCTCAATCCCCTCCCCATCCTCTGATTAACACATATTCATCCACTCAGGGTTCATTTGTACGTCCCTTTCTCAGAAGGTTTCTATGCCCCCTTGGACGAGGCAGGTTCCCTCCTCTGTGCTCGAAAACACTCTGGCCTATCTCTATTGTTGAACTTATCACCTATATTATTAATTTCTGATTAGTGCCTGCCTCTCACCTCCCACCTCACACAAGTTTTTTAAAGCCTTTTGAGGGTATAGACTGTGACTCATTCATCTTGCACATGGTAGGAGGGATGCAATAAATATCTGTTGAATGTCAAGGTTTGTGAGGTGCTTTTCAGACTCAGAGTTGCTTGAATGCATACTTAGCACTGTGGAAGAATTTTAAAACCAAAGCAGACATCTTTTAACCGCGTTCCTCTACCCAGCTTCCTATATGGTTTTCACTGTTCCTCTCACTGTGTATCTGAGACCATTTCCCTTCAAATGAGTCCTATTTGTTTAGACTGAATAAAGGAACTGAGAAGAGGAATTGAAAAATAAATGAACAAATGATCTTATGGGAAGTAGTAACAAAGTTAAAATTTATAAGCTTCAAAATTTATGTAACATAATGCAAATATGCACCCCTAAAAGAGCAAGATTAAGAAAAATACTTCTGTAGTCCTAATTTTTCAAACATTTGCATATGGCTCTTGGCAATGATCTAGTAGAAACTGTAAACAGGAATCCAGTTTAAAGTCAGTTAGATAAAACTAAACACTGTTATTTGTCTTTAAAATGCATATTTTTAAAAATCTCTATAATTTTATACTTTTTCCAGGATTAAATTTGGTTTTATTTTACAAATTTCCACCTATCTCTGCCCATTGTACTAGAACCAAAGAAAGAAAGAAATAGAAGAGTGACATAGTTATTTTTCCCTCTCCACTTCTTTGCAGCTGCAGCTTATGTTACATTCAAATATACTCATGCAATGGACTTTAAAAATACTATCCACTTGAATTTTTGATTCCTCATATACATCAAAATTCAGATTTATGGAGGATATGCTAAACACAAATACGCTAAATATTAAGAGACTGAGTCTCTACTTATCCTTTAAATTATCAATTATCAAAAACTTTACTAACAAAAGAGAAGTAATTCCTGAAAAGGTTTTAAGAACAGTGGCATGCCCTTAACAACAAGAACAACAGGTTGTTTTGAGCACCCATCTCTTATTTATGAATATTTATTTTTATAAATTATAAGTATCACTCTTCTAATGACTACTATAATTTATATGTTATATTATCATTATCATGTATGTTAAATACATTAACAGAAATGTAAAATAAGATAAGAATACCGTAAATATAACTAGGTGTTCTACTATGTTCTTCCTGAACTTCCAGATTGGATGCAGAATTTATAAGACATTGCTCCTACACAAGATTTAATTCTCTCTCCATTATCTCTTGGAACTACAGTTAAACAGCAATATACATATAACATATACTAGCTAAGAGAATCCCAAGGGGAGAAGGCCAATGGTCTCAGCAAAGGCTATTATAGGCTTTGCAAGGGGAGCAGATCTAGATATGAGTGGTTCAGCAGAAATTCATCGTATTAGAAACACATGCACACACAGGGTTGTGAATTAGCAGAGATTTTGAATATCGGCTAGTTCAGTGATTTTCAAACTATTAAAAAAATTTTTTTTTCCCAAATGAACTCTTTAGCAGGTGGCCAATATATAAGACAGATATAAGCTGAAGGGCTCTGGCTAATGCAGCTTCAGTCTCTACCCACTCTCTCTCCTTCCTCCTCTCCTCTCCCTCCAGGAGTGCAGTTTGAAAATTACTTGACAACATTGTCATTTTAGAGATAAGGCTACCAAGCTGAAGATGGAACAAGAGAGGCCATTTTAAGACAATGTAATAGATAAAGTAGCTGAAATTATTAATCCTGGACACTTGGCTATACTCCCTTTAGATGCCCCTGCCCTGTCTTCATGAACTGGCTTCCCTGCACATTCCCTATCTGATCTCATTTGCAAATATAAATTTTTAAAGGATGATCTGGTAAGATTTAAGGTATTTTTGCTTCTAGAGTTTGGTAAAATGATGAATACTTATTTTTTTCTTTGAAATATATATTTTCTAACTTGAAAGTTTTCATGACTCAAGCAGTCAGCCATGTCAATATGCAAAAATCTGCATAAAGAAGAAGGATCCAGTGCACTTTCATACACAAGATTTCAGGGGGTCCTGCAACCTCAAAAATCAAGATAAATAATAGTTAAAGCAATAGTTTTTTAAAAATCAAAATTAGTGCAAAAGATCTATGATGAAAAACATCAAATTTTAAAATAAAGATCTTATTCTGCACTTATACAACTTGGCCTCACGTACCTCACCCTAGCCCTGGACCTGGTCTGGGAACTTCTTTGAAAAAATGAAGTACAAACATAAAAATGGTGTCTGGTTAGTTGTATTAAGTAAATGTCTGCCTCTATAATACCTAGGATTGTAGAAGAAGGAAATGTTGTTTGGAGGAAAAGCCCAGTCAAGGTGTGCTCTGCAATATTGACCTTACACCTCAGTCTGTAGGACTCAAGATAAAGTTAAGTTGTTTGAGAACAAATAAGCATCTAGCGAACTACATGAGGTAATACTCAGTCCATGGTTGCACTGAGCTAGTTTACAATTTCAATGAGTTACTAAATATAGTTATAGCTGCTTCAAGGGGCATTATTTTCCACTTTTGTTTTTAAAGGCAAATCATAGTTCTAAAACGTGTAAAGACCTGAACATTCAAAATGTCAGTTGAACTTCATCTGATTCCTAAAAGCAAATCGACCACTTCAACTGCAAGACCCAGTTTTAAAAGGCTGTCTCCTTAAGACGCATTTAATCTCTCAAGCATTATAAAGATGAAAACAACCATCAAAAGATGAATCACTGTGACATGAGAGAGCACAGACATTCATGAGGATGTTTTCTATCCATAGAACTCAAATGAACTAGCTTAGGAAAACAAATGACTCTATGCCTGACACAGAGTAGGCACTCAACACATATTTACTGGATAAACGAAGAAAGAATGAAAGTTGAAAAAAGATTAGAAGCAGGTAAAACAGGACCAGATTATAAAGAACTTTGAAACAGAGACTTTATGCTGTATGCTTCTAAGCTGAGGTTTAACAAGACAAAAAAAAAAAAGTGGCTCTTTAAAATAAAGAATGGGGGCTTCCCTGGTGGCACAGTGGTTGAGAGTCTGCCTGCCGATGCAGGGGACACGGGTTCGTGCCCCAGTCCGGGAAGATCCCACATGCCATGAAGCGACTAGGCCCGTGAGCCATGGCCGCTGAGCCTGCGCGTCCGGAGTGTGTGCTCCGCAACGGGAGAGGCCACAACAGTGAGACGCCCGCGTACTACAAAAAAAATAAAATAAATTTAAAAAATACATAAAAGAAAATAAAGAATGGGTGAGTTGATAATAAGCAAACAGTAAATCCAGCTGCAAGTCTCTAGAAGTAATCTTGGCATTGGCAATAAAGGCCCACCAAAGGGGAAGACAGTAAAATTGGATTAAGGAAGGTGTGGCAGAGACTGCTAGTTGGGCTCCCAATAGCTCTTCTCGCCTTCCTCTCTAAGAAATAGAAAGTTTAGATGGGTACATAGCTAAGGACCACATTGCCAAGCCTCTCATGCTGCTAGATATGGCCATGCAAATGGATTTTCTCATTTAAACATGAGCTATGAGCAGAAGTGATGTACGCAGTTCTAGGTTATACTCTAAAAGAGAGGGGAGTGTGGCCCCTCCCTCTTCTCTTCCCCTTTCTGAAAACTGGACTGTATCTGTGTGGCGATATTCACCACGTGAACAAGGAAACCACTTTGGGGATGACGAAGCAACAAGATGGAAGGAGCCTGTATCCCTAACATGGTTAAGCCATTATACCACCTCAG